CCTGAGTCTGATCCCTGGTACCAAAAAAAAAAAAGAATTTTAGAAATAAAATGTATTTATTATCTAAGAAATATTAGCAAATTTCTTTTTGAAAGATTCCTTGATATTATTTTAGCGGAAACTACAGCATCATCGTGATGCAGTCTTTCATCTTTTTCTTCCCAATTTTTCCCAGGAACCTCTGGCAGCTGTCTTCGTCGCTTCAGTACCATGCCTTTCATGTTCTGCAATATCAATAATGTTTGCAACTTTGCTTCAAGAAATGACTATTCTTACTGGCTTTCTACTCCAGAGCCTATGCCAATGAGCATGGAACCCTTGAAGGGTCAGAGCATTCAGCCATTCATCAGTCGGTGAGGCATTGGTTTAGCTTTAACTTGTACCAATCCTCGGTTAGTTTAGCCAGTTAAAAATCAGTCTAAAGCTAGTAATCTGATGATATTCCTCCCAAGTTAAGTAGACAGGTTTGCCTTTTAATATTCAATTCAATATTTAGTTTAATCTCTAATTTTAGAGAAATTTACTTTTGACCAGGTCCTATGATATAATTCTACATGGAGAAATCTGTGATGAGTATATGAAACAAATGTGTTTTAAATTGACTTATCCATGATGGACTAAAAGGACCACTGAGGCACAAGCACTCATAAAGGGGAAAGACATCTAAGCAGAGAAAAAGAGAATGGATAACAATGTGTCTAGAATGTAGTATTTAAAGGTTGCATAGGGTGTAAAGACTGGAAACTTAGCTTGGGCTAACTTTTAGTTAAGTAGAATGGTAGAATGCTTTCAGTGCCAAATTTACTTTTTGTATCATGAGTCCCCATATTTTAGCTATACTTCAGGGAAGATTTAAAAACCATCAGTGTGTAACATAGATTATAGAAAGGTTAGTCCTGGAGTAAAGAGACTCATTATATTGAAGGATATTGCTGTAGTTCTGATGTGAATGGATTGGGTCTCACAGTGGGGGACATGCATCACATTATTCAAATTGACAGGAGTTGGCAGTGGGAAGGAGAAAGTTATAGTTGAGGTTTGGCAAAGTTTTCCTGGGGAATTGCAACCTTGGAACCCTAGTTAGACTCATCTCCTAGGAAGGCTGGATAGTGCTACTTTTGTTCTGATCATGACCCAGGGCTCTAGCAGCAAAGGATGAGTGACTAAAAAGTCTGGTTTTTTTGACACTCAATAAAAAGACTAAACCTTCAGTAGCAAATTCACAACTTGGGGATGCCTTTGAGGATGACAGAGAGAGAGAGAGAGAGAGAGAGAGAGAGAGAGGGAGAGAGAGAGAGAGAGAGAGAGAGAGAGAGAGAGAGAGAGGGAGGGAGAGGGAGAGGGAGAGGGAGAGAATAAATAGGAGGAGGGGAAGGGGAGAGGGAAAGGGAAAGAAGAAGAGAGGAAGAGGAGAGGAGAGGAGAAGAGAGGAGAGGAGAGGAGAGGAGAGAAGAGAAGAGAAGAGAAGAGAAGATTTTTTTATCAATCTCAATTTGGGCGAGTAAACTGTCCTCTAAATATATAGATGAACTGTGATAAATTGGCTTCAGTCATATTTTAAGAGGTTCCCTCATGCTCTTTATTAAACACGTGGTAGACTCAGCTCTATTTACTTCATTGCTATTTTACTTGACTTTAGAGAGTCAGCCATGTTTCCAAGTGCCTGAGTACTTGCCCAGAATTCTAAATATATTGCACTTACCTAAATATAGACAAATGGGTAATAAATGTCCTTTTGACCAAGAATAAAGGGTGGAAATTAAGAAAATGTCTGCTGTCTTTTCCAGTTTACCAGACATTTTTCTTAACACAGTTGCAGCATTACCAAATATCTACCCTGCATTTGGGCAGCTTGACAGCAAATAGTATGTGCAACACACAAAGCCAAACTTTTAGGTCAGTTATGGGATTGACTATAGCATGTATGAATTCAGGGCAGAATGGAAAAATGCTATAGAAATGATTCTGATTTTTCTTGAAAAATGTTTGCAATTTTAGTTTATAATTTTATTATGTATATTAGTGCTTATCCAGAAGCAATACTCGAAGGGCATTCTGTCCTTTTCTGAGCCTTGAAGACACCTTAATGGGCCTGGTCCAGAAAGGCTTCCAAAGAAGACTCACACTCATTCTGCTCTCTCCTTCCCTTTACCAGATGTGTAGTATGTGAAGCTCCAGCTATGGTGATTGCAGTTCACAGTCAGACCATCCAGATTCCTCATTGTCCTCAGGGATGGGATTCTCTGTGGATTGGTTACTCCTTTATGATGGTATGAAACACACTTTCTTGCTTTTGTCATAATAGCCGACTGTCCATCATATGTGCATTTACCCCCAATTTTTGGAATAAGTGTCACTTCTATATAGTAAGACTCTTGAGGTTTAAATAGCTTTTCTCTAGGCACTGTGTTCCCCTTCCCCCATTCTCTGTAAATATTTCCATAATCTACCTGTTGCTTTTTTCTTTTTTTTTGATACCGGGGATCGAACTCAGGTCCTTGCCCTTGTGAGGCAGGCGTCGGAACCACTGAGCTAAATCCCCGGCCCCTACCTATTGCTTTTATTGACTATCCTTGATGTGAATACTATTCTCTTACTACCAGTCCTAGTCCTCTTCACTACATTTGAGTTTTTGGCTAAGCTAGGTACATATCATTGGATATTCAGTAAGATATTAGGGCATATGAGTACGATGGCACATTTTTCTTTCTTTCCTAGCATACAAGTGCAGGGGCAGAGGGCTCAGGTCAAGCCCTGGCCTCACCTGGCTCCTGTTTGGAAGAGTTTCGTTCTGCTCCCTTCATCGAATGTCATGGGCTAGGAACGTGTAACTACTATGCCAACTCCTACAGCTTTTGGCTAGCAACTATAGATGTGTTGGACATGTTCAGGTAAGGCACTATGGCTTTAGTTCAGGTCCAAAGCTTCCTTCAAAGATGCTAGGGAAGGCAGAAGTAATTAATGGATGGTTTATCCCCATCATATTGTTATGAATATATTGGACTGTGTCCTTTATTCTTACTTGTTCTCCTTAAGTTCCTAAATCAAGTTGGAAAAACAGACCTAACTAATACTGGGTAAATAGGAATCTTCCAATAACAAAACAGAGACAAAGAAAGGTTAGATGACCTGCTCAATAATAAAAGTCAGCAGCTATTCTACTAGAATGCGACAACCTGAGGAATTGAAGCTATCCTTTGTGTTCTCCAATCCACTGATTTCCTTTTCAAAAATGTTTTAAAAGCTCTAATCTAAGGGTTTGAATGAATAAGACCATGAACAATACACATACCTCAGAATACTTCAATCTGTTGAAATTGTTTTCAGGTTAAATTTATTTATTTTTTAATTAGTACATGCCTGCAGTACATAATGATTGCATTTATCATGGAGAGTTGGTACATATACATAACACATCTTAATTCTTTTTTCATCCCCTACCTCTCCCATCTCTCCCTCCTCCTTCCATCTCTTGGTCCCTTTCCCATTTGCAAAAGTTCTGTTTCCAGTCTTTTCTTTTTATTTTCCCATCTCCTCCCCCTACCACCTCTTGCCTTCCTTCTCATATGAAACAGATCTCTCTACTTCCTATTATCTAGCTTTCATTCTGCTCTTCATTTACATTTTGCGTTTCTCATGTAAGAGAAACCATGCAATTTTAAGTTGTGTGTCTGACTTATTTCACCTAATATGGTCTCAAGGTGCATCCATTTACCTAGAATACCTCAAGTTTATCCTTCTTTATGGCAGAGTAGTACTCTATTATGTGTAAATACAACATTTTCCTTATCTATTCATCTCTTGATGGACATGTAGGCTATTTTACAAGATTTAGATATTATAAATTATCCTCCTATAATCATAGTTATGCATGTATCATTGGAATATAACGACTTTAACTGTTTCAGGATATTATTTATGTGTTGGTTCCTTTGAGTTATCATTATTTGACATTTTTCCATGGTTTTTATCATGTATCAATCATCAATTGCCAAGATCTCTTTCCTTATATGAATATTAGAAAAAAGTATCAAAGAGAGGAAAAGACAAATATATACAAACCTAATAAATGGCAAAGAGAACAATCACAAAAGTACTTATGAGCAGTGAAGTTTCTTAGGCAATACCAGTCACTAATATAGATCACGTTGGTTAAAAGTAAGCCATTAAGTTATTAGGAGAGCTACTTTTAAAAAGAGAGGAGAATTTGGGTATTAATTTGAAGGGATAACAGAATTAAAATACCAGAAAAGGCAAAGAATTGAAATCAGAAAAGGTGAATCTGATTTTCTTGTTTCTTTTTTCTCAGTAAGCCTCAATCAGAAACACTGAAAGCAGGAGACTTGAGGACACGTATTAGCCGATGCCAAGTATGCATGAAAAGGACATAACATTTTGAAGAATTCCCGTGTGTTTCTAAATGTGATATATATATATATATATATATATATATATATATATATATATATTTTCCAGGATGCAATGTCTCACACTCCCCAACTTTACCACTGCTGCCACTAATGGTGCTCCTATATATGACTAAGACAGCATGCTGACTAGTAACCATGAAGATTCAAATGTACCTCAGCAATGCACAGCAAGACCTCTGTTATTTTTCTATGATAGAAATAAGGAAATGAATTTACTTTTTGGGTCCAGAATCATTTTCTCTGAGGATTATAAGATGAAATTGTATATTTTGCCCAGTTACTGAAATGGTACATTAAAAATTCAATTAATAGAAGAATCACACAGAATTAAATAAAAGACTGCAGTCAGTTTGGGGGAAGAATTATTTTTCATGGTGCTACTAATCCTACTGTATCCCAGGTTTTTAATATAAAAGTGCTAAATTTATTGTGCTGTGTAAGTAAAGAATGTGTATATTGTATAAACAACCTTTTAGGTCAAAATGTTGAGTCACTTAGATGTGACCTGGTGTGAATCACTTTTTACAGAAAACATAAGAAAGCCTAGAATATAGACAACAAGATTTTAGATGTGAGGGAATTTATACTCTTACATCAAGTACTACTGAGATTAAATTTGAGTTTTCTTCCCCCAATTTTTTATTTTATTATTTTTAAAAAGATTGTTTTAGTCGCTTTAATCACATTTTTAAAAGTTCATGTTCCATATCAAATTATAATATCCAATGGAACAGTTTATTTTTTGCTATATTCTGCAAACACTTTTGATACCAGATGCCTCTTGTTTCAATGTTTTTACATTTTGTTTTTGCTCATCCCAGACTGGGCAAATTTCTCTCTAATTTTGAAAAACAAAATTTACCAAAAAACTTTAATGATTCTTTTCTTGGTGCTTCTTGTATAAAGTTCTTCTCTTTTGGTCTCTCTTGTATAAGAAATAGGAAGACAATACTTGGTTAATTGTCTTCTTCAATTACAAAACAAAAAAAACAAAAAAAAATGTTTTTTTTTTAACCCTTTTTATTTTAAACATTTTATTATAAAATAGTCATAGGATACCTTATTTCCTTACTTGTCATCTTCTCACTGAATGTTTTTTGACACACCAATATCAATTAATTAAAGATATATGTTCTAAGGATGGTTTGTTGTGTATCTCTTCAGCCTATGTGTTAAAACAAAACAACAACAAAAAAAATCCTACTTGCTTTCAGATAGACTACCATCTGCACATCAACAAGTGTTCCTTTCTTAGGGAATTGGCTTCTGTAGACTTTGACCATTCTGAGACCTGATAGAAAACATATAGTAAGACTTTTTCCAATGATGAAAACTCATTGGATGGTATTTTTACATAATAAATCTCTTGACAACATTGTGTTGATGTCTGAGAAAGGGAGAAGTAGTTTCTATTTAAAGAAGAACTCATTAATAATGTTTAAAGGAGATTAGTGAGTTAATATTCCCAATGATTAAGAATGAAACACATGTAGCTCTCTAAAACAGTCAAGGACTTGCTAAAAATGAGAGGCACTAAAAGGCTTTATAATATAATTTATGTTGCAACTACAATATAAAACAACCAAAACAGTTTGCAAATTGTAATCCCTAAAAACGAAGCCTTGCAAAATCCAAAGATTAGAGTCTATAGGAGTTTAGGATGTAAACAGTGGTAACTACCTAATAATTTTATTGATTTGGGTAAGCAGGTTGCAAATTTTAGCTTTATTTTTCTATGTAGGCCCATGCCTAAAACACTAATGGGTAGTTCTAAATGAAAACACAGATTTTTCAACACGGTGTACATTCCAAGGTTGTTCCTTGAGTTACAGCTGCAGAAACTAATTCTGGATGTTTGGCTGTTTGTAGCTTTCTCTCTCATTGAAAACCCTGGCTCAAAATGCACCTCCTAACTTTAAAATTATTGTATATACTGCTAGTCTAGATTCTTCTTAAGTCCTCTCAACTATCCCAGCTCTACTTTGTTTGAAGTACACAAACCCAATCCATTTCAGGACCTTAGTTTTGTTGACCCTTTTTTGTCACTGATTATTAAAAAATTACTCCAAAGTTAGCTATTTTGCAGTTACCTTTGGTGAGTTTTGCAGTCATCACAGTTAATAGTTTTTCCACATGGGCAACCATGAATGAATGAGCTGTTCTGCTTAATCAGCTAGTTTGATTTTCAAATAAGAATGTGTACAAAATATGGTTTTGCCAGTTAATATTTTGAAATTCACATGTTGCATACGTGGTACCAAATCCTGATGTTCCACAGCTATACACAAGAGTTGATCTCTTACCTTTTGGAAGATATATTGCTGGCAAATACTTAATTGGAACAAAATACCTGGTGGTACTTCCACCAGAAGATGGGTATATATTTAAATATATGTATGTGTGTCACAGAGAAAAGTGTATATTCCTTCTGCTTTTATACCTTGATCTGCAGTCTAAGGCCATGTTGGTGTCATAATCATTGTTTCCAGAGCAAGTTTTATTAGATACTTTGTGATTTTAGGGTGTCCTTTCCCCTAGTCAGATTTGAAAAACACTCTCCTGTTCTTGTGATGCTAACCAGGTTCTTTGCCACAATTAGCATGGCTAATTGAAAACTCAGTGGCATGCCAAGCCATCAAAAGCTTATTCATAAATTAACACAAGAGGGCACTATTGTCTATAAAAATGAATCAGCAAGTGTAAAGGTTTATGGAGCTCCTTGCTAGTGGCAGTGGGTTTGCCTGAAGTCTTGCTTCTAGATTCCTTGTTTCAAGCTTCATTGATTATTTCAACCTCATAAAAACCAACAGTAAATATTCTAAGAGCTGGCCCAATTCCACTCACATCCACCCCTGGAGATTTAACCCAGGACTTTTCCAGGAAGCTACATCCTCAGCCTTTTTAAATTTTGATACAGGTTATCACTGTTTCCAGTTCTGGGCTCAAACTTGTGATTCTCCTGCCACGGCCTCCCAGAGTGCTGGAATTATAGGTGTGCACCACCATGCCCAGCTATTTACTTTTGTTTTGAGACAGGGTCTCACTAAATTGCCCATGCTGGGCCGGAATTTGAAATCCTCCCACCTCAGCCTGCTAGAATGCTGAGAATGTAGTCATGAGCCACCTTGCCCAGTTGATGGGTCTCTTCTTAAGGGCCTGATTAAAGCTTGGTTCTGGGAGCACTTCATGTGCCTCTCAACACAGAAGCAAAGGGAAATTACTTTTGTATGGCCAAGACTTCAATTGGTTTCTTTGGCAAAGAAGCTCTTTTTTTCAATCAAAGCTATTCAAACACCTTCATCCTCCAGCAATTCCAAAATAAATAGAATAATATCATGTGTCATTTCCATTTTAAGAGCAGCGGTTTTTAGAATTTTTTCAACGTGCTCTTAAAATATTCCTAATTTGAGAATCCAAAGTCAGCTCAACCAGAAAGATGTGCTCTAATATATGCTTTATAATATATAATGACTATAATATAACTATAACTATATTATATGCTCTGGAGAAGAGGTACGCTAATCATTTTTGACCATCCAATTTTACTATTCCACAGATCAGGGGGCTTTTTGCCAGGAGTAGTTGTGTAGAAGAAGCTGTCTATTAACCTATTCAGCACATGGAGACTCTAAAATCACATTTATGTGATCTTAATTCTCTGTTTCTCTATGAATGGACAGCATGCCCAACATCTGAATCCAAGGGATCACAAATTACTGACATCATGCCAGTTTATCTCAGGTATCTTTGTTTTCTACCAGCTGCACATTGCATCCTCCACCGTTTTCTGCCCCCAGAGGGACCTTGTTTTCTGGGTTCCTTCAATCAATAGGCTGCCCCAGCAGGCTAGCAGCAGGAAGGACAAGAGTGGGATTAAAGTATTTGTTTTCCTTGCTCCCTCTGTGTGGGGTCACGTTAGGTTGGCTTGTGTCACTAAAATTGAATGTTCCTACTACTCTCAAGGTTATTAGCTCATTTTAATTGTCTCCTGGTCTGGGTCCAGTAACTTCTTTCTTATGGCTTCAGGTATAGGTGTGGTTGAAAAGTCTGTTACTTATTTACACTTTTAGTATTTCACACCAGAGAAACTATTCGGTATTTACACATATGTGTCCTATTTATTTCACTTAAGAATATCACCTCAATGTGCATCCATTTAGCTATTAATCTCTCTAGTTTCTTGTTCTTTATGGCTGAGTATACTCCATTTTATAGAAAATCCACATCTTCTTTATCCAGTCTCTAGTTGATGGGCAATTGGGCTGTTCCCAAGTTTCAGCTATTACAAACTCTGCCGCTATGAACATGGGTGTTACTGTGTTGCTAGATTTGAATTTCCAAACTACTTCTTACAGTTTTTTTTCACACTGCCTATATCTTTCAAATTAAACAGTCCTCAGACTATCCTCATTTAAGGGTGTTGTCTGTTTGCTATTGATAACCTGAGTATACAACTGCTTCTAATTTCCAAAATGTAGGTTCCATATATGTGGTAAAATTAGGGTTAATTGATTAACCTGAAAGCATGATTAAATATCTTCCTTTTTAAATTGAAGACTAGGCCAGTGGAAATATGACTGAACACCATGTAATTGAAGACCTACTTTAACAATATATTGGAAGCTGCATTCCAAGATATTTAGAAGAAAATCAGGCAAAATATGTTCATTATGATATTAAATATTGCCCTGTTGGATTTTTTTTTTTTTTGGTACCAGGGATCAAAGTCAGGATCTTGGGCTTGCAAGGCAAGTGCCGGGACCACTGAGCTAAATCCCCGACCCTCCCTGTTGGATTTCTAAGGAATGCACTTTGACTTCCACTCAGTGGTCATTTGGTATGTCCCACTGTACTCCAAATGAAAATTTTAATTTGCCCCATTGGTATGCTAGATTCTAAGTACCTATAACCAAAAGCTTGATAAAGAAAACTATCAGTACTACTTCTACCAGAGGAATCTGCCAAGTCAAGTGTATATGCCTGCAGTCAATGAAAAGCTCCAAAAAGTCACTGGCTATAAAATGGACAGTTTATTAGTGGTTTTCTAACTTCCAGAACATCTGTGAAAGGTTAGCCTGCAGAAGTTCTTCAGATCTGCTTCCTTTCTGCTCATAAAGGACACCTGAGATATGCTTACACTAGCAAAGGATGATGGAAGACAGGGTAGACTGAAAAGCCAAAGGCAGCTTGAGACTACATACTAATTTTTACCATGGCCATGTAGAGCCTACAAAGAAGTAAACACACTTTCCTTTCAGGTAAAACAGTTTTCTGATTGATTTCTTCAGAGCCAATGAAGTTCTTGTGATTGCCAGTCTATCATAAACCACAACGGTAAACCTAGATGTCAGATCTTTCTCTAATAGAATAATTTGACCTTTTTGGGGCTCTAAAAAGAACTATCTCCTATGTCTCACTAGCAATAACTGTAACACCTTATAGTTATATAGCTATCACTAAAATGCTATTCTTCACACATTTCATCTGAGCCTCAACAACTCTGATGTTTTCAAGCAGTATGAGGATTGGTCTCCAAATTACAGATGCAGAACGTGAGCTGTGGGATTGTTAACTGACTTTCCCAAGGTCATAGGACAAGTTGCTAAATTCTTTTTACTCAAAATCTAATCATCATCTTCTAGTCACAAAGATGTATATTTCAAAACCTCAGAATTCAGCGTGGTAGAAATTCATTAAGGATCTATTACAGGGGTCTGAGCCTCATGAAAAGAGACAAAAGTGCATGTTATGGAAAGCTTGGTTCACAGATAAGGATGAGTGCTTTTTCCAGCACTGTTGCAGCACCTGAGACCCTTTGAAATCAGCCCTCAGACACACAGAATGGGTAGTAAATTTGTTGTACCTCAACATGTTCTTGTTCCTTTGGTCTAGGCCTCTAGCAGAGGAAAACTTTATATTGTCTGGCCTGGTGCCTCCTCATGTGAGATTCCTCAGGGCTCTTGAACCCAGATGAACTCCTGGAGTAATTAATTCCCTGCAAACTCTACACTGCTGTTGGTGCCCAAGTAAGCACCAGTTATATAAATCTGAGACCAACTAGATAGTATCTATCATTTATTACAGACAATGCAGAAAACTCTGTGGAGGAGGAAATTTCCAATAGG